TCTGAACTTATATTGGATTGTTGCATTTAAGAGGTGAAGCCATTTTAGGGGTTGAAAAATAGACTAATTTTTCAAAATTTATTGTACGAATATGGTTAAAAGGAATAGAATTTCTGTTTAATCATTTCATTGAATATATGATATATTTAGAAGTCAACAAAAATATTCTTTAATAATTATTTTGTTACAAAATGGCGGTGATAAAGTCCATTATTTAATCCATGTTGTTTTGAAAGGCGTCCACAGGAGGAGCAATTCCTTTTTAAGAATGAGATATGGAATACAAAAGCAAAAATTTTTATGATCTATAAACTTTTATCTCTGAAAGTACCTACGTAATTTTTTTTAACTAAGTTTTGTGAAAGCGGCGCAATTTTTTTTTCAATATTAATTTTTTATTAGGAAATGCACACGAAATTATTAAAAAAGATATTTTTACATTTAATCGTAAAACGGCTACGTATTACTAAAAAAAATTGCATTAGTAAAGCTACCAGCTAAATTTCAAATAAATCGATGCAACGGGGTCCGAAAAATGTGGTTTTGCGAAAGCGTTTAAAGTTGTCATTGTACTCAGCGCATGCTCTGGGGGGCTGCAGCAAAATAAAAAGTTCAAATACTTGAAATATTTTTCTCACTTCAAAAAGAATGGCATATCATTTCTAGGACCCAAAGGTATGCTGTGAACAAAACAACAAGAAATAAAATTGTGTTATCGGAATTGCTATCTTTGATAGTTTTATAGTTTTTTTTACCTAAAATTAGTTGGTGTCACTTCCAACTGAAATTTTTTAACCACAGCCCATACGTTTCCATTTAACACCATCGATTGCTGCATAAACCCAAATATACACTGCAGCCGTAGTATAATCGAGTGTATTCAATAAAAAACCGAAGTTCTTCGAAATATAGTTTTATTAGCCCTTTAAAATATCCACCTGGTTCATATTCAATTCACAGCGTTCAGTTTGGCACTTTTACTAGCAGAATAAAGCATTTTCTTGTCCGGTTCACTTACACATATTTAAAGAATTTTTTTTTGAGAAGCTCTCTTTTTGCTAGAGACAATTTTTGAAACTTTGTCTAGTCATTATTTGAGCGCATTGAGCACGCCCTAACGTACTACAGTTCAAACTTTAGCTCAAATAGTTCGCACAGTTCAATACTCGCACAAATGTTTAATGAAAATTTTCAATACTGGTGGTTGGAACTCTATTGGCTACTTAGCTACCCGGTCTGCATGAGAATATTAATAAAATTACTATAAGTAAGTGGTAAAGTAAAGAAAATAATTATTTTTATTAATTTTTTATTTACTTATTTCAGTAAAATTGAACTATAAATTCAAATTGACTATGATACAAAAAGATCTAAGCCTATCAAAGGCATTTTGTGTATACATTAAGCTTTGTCCGATGGACTCACCATAAACCCATAGTATGAACCACTGGTTGTCGAGCTCTGAAACTTGGAGGTTGTGTTCTGCGTATGACGTAAGCAGCAGATAGAAAAAGGTTTGCTGGGTACCGATCTATTCTAAAAAATCGATTGATTTATATAAAATTTGATACAAAGGAAACTTTTTGCCTGAATCGGTATGGCTTAGCCCCCAGTGAATACTTCTCATTCGCGTACGTTAAATTTTATTGTGTGGACAACATTTTTGACACCTCAAGAGGCAGTTGATATGTTCAGTATACCTATTTTTAGAAACCATAATCAGAGTAGTAAAAGTGCTTGGAAATTAAATACAAACGCAAAAAAAGGTTAAGGATCTTTTCCATAAATGTAAAAGACAACCCGGAAATGAATGGCCTGGTCTCTAAAAGAGAGAGACAGTCAATTCTTGTACTTCCAAGATGAAGTTCGTATAGTCAGCATTATAAAATGGGTCTATATGACCGCTGAGTGGGTCTAAGCCGCCTAATTATGATACCCGTATGAATAGTTATAAGCAAGTATTTGGGAATAGAGAAGAAAGAAAAGTATTTTCCATTAAATTTATTTAAAGTCTTCCTTCCGTAAAAGTTCATTGACATTAGGAGCATTTTTTTTTTGAACTGATAATATTCTAGCGAAATAAATTGAAATGCTTATTCCAACGAAAAACATCCAAAACTAGCCGCCAGTTAAATAAATGATTATCTGCGGAAAAAAGCGGAAACTGGAAAAAAGAAATATTATGCCTGATAAAAAGGGGAGAAATGTACACTTTAAAACAACAAATTTCACACTAAATCGCAAATCGTAAGCCCACATGGCACCAACGAAATTGACTGTTTTACATTAATATCCCAGTGGGTGTCTATACGAAAATTATATAGCAAAGAAACGAAAAGAAAACCGCATACCAATGAAAATACTTGCGAGTGGCGAGTTCAATTGCACACAATCACCGCACCACCAAATCCACATGATAAATGATGCACCGTGACACCTTCAAATGTCTGCATATTTTTCAAATGTCCAAGAAAAGTCAACCTAAGCAGGCAAGCAGCGGCCATGACCAGGCGAGTTAGCAGCCGAATGTCAAATGTTGATTGCGAACACAGATATATGTACATATTTACACAAATGTCAGGGCGTGTAAAGGCAGCTTTTGGGGTTAGCAAGAGAACACGTGCTTAGATGCTTGGTTGGGATTTTCGATGACTTGGCGGAAAAATATGAAATATCGAAAAGGAATAAAATAGAGTAACATAAAATATTGTAAAATAAAATAAAATAAAATAAAATAAAATAAAATAAAATAAAATAAAATAAAATAAAATAAAATAAAATAAAATAAAATAAAATAAAATAAAATAAAATAAAATAAAATAAAATAAAATAAAATAAAATAAAATAAAATAAAATAAAATAAAATAAAATAAAATAAAATAAAATAAAATAAAATAAAATAAAATAAAATAAAATAAAATAAAATAAAATAAAATAAAATAAAATAAAATAAAATAAAATAAAATAAAATAAAATAAAATAAAATAAAATAAAATAAAATAAAATAAAATAAAATAAAATAAAATAAAATAAAATAAAATAAAATAAAATAAAATAAAATAAAATAAAATAAAATAAAATAAAATAAAATAAAATAAAATAAAATAAAATAAAATAAAATAAAATAAAATAAAATAAAATAAAATAAAATAAAATAAAATAAAATAAAATAAAATAAAATAAAATAAAATAAAATAAAATAAAATAAAATAAAATAAAATAAAATAAAATAAAATAAAATAAAATAAAATAAAATAAAATAAAATAAAATAAAATAAAATAAAATAAAATAAAATAAAATAAAATAAAATAAAATAAAATAAAATAAAATAACATAAATAAAAAAAAAATTAAATAAATTAAAATATTATAAAATGAACTTGAGTTCGACAGACTTCTCAAGCAAATAGACTACATATTTAAGCGGTTCTCTGAGCTTGTATACCTTAAGAAATATAAAGTTATAAGTACATACTTGCAACTGGCGTCAAATTCTCAGTCAGCTCGTGCGAGCTACAAGTCAAACAGTTGTTCAGCCAACACAGTTGGTTACTCCCAATGTAGACACGCAACCTTTTGTTGGATTTTGTGAATGTATGTATGTATACGTATATTCGTTGTGACAATGGTTTTCAATTATTTACACAGCAATTTTTCTTATTCACCTTATCTTCAAGCTTTTATTATATTATTTCTATCTTAATTCTTTCTTTTCTTTCGTCTTCTCAGTTTCTCACTTCTTACGCGAATTTGTACAAACGAACTTTTATTATCATTGTTACAAGTGTTACTGTTATCCACGGTGGGCACCTTTATATATTTTTTTTTGTATTATTATGCTTTAGTAACATTATCATTAATGTTTTAGCCTTCATTATGCTTTATGCTTTGTTATATATTTCATACTTTTTCTCTATTATCATACACTTTTAAGTTTATTTTTCTCCTACAGCATTACTTACTCCATCCTAGCACTCGCCATGACCTTTTTTGGGAAATGTCATTGCTAATTCAACAAAGCAAATTTCATGGCTTAAATTTCCGTGTCTATCTATTTGCGCGCCTGCGGGTATGCTACATTTTTCGAAATTATTTCATTAATTTTGTTAAATTATTTTGCTTTTTGTGTCTTTTTTTCCATACAAATCTTGTTTGTTTTATAAATCCTCATTGTCCGTTTGTCATTTGTTTTGGCTTTCCGACTATGCTTAGCGTTTTCCGCACAGAAGCGGTCATTTGCGAGCCGGAAATGTTGTTCGAGTATGAGTGTGGTTACTACCTAGTAGGAAATTTTATTCAAAAAAGTATTAATTTCTTATGCTGGGGATAAAGAGTGTTTGTGCATGGATTTTCAATTGAAAAAAAGTCTACGTGACGTCATCATTTCGTAAAGTATTTTTAGTACGAAAAGACCCAAGAAATAATTCTCTAAAATACCAATAGTTTGATTTTCATAATATAGAATCGTCTCTATACAATTTAAAATAACCGGATCGCAATAAAGTTGAGTTTCACTGATTTTTAGATAAAAAAAATATTATTGCCTCTGTACTCATATTTTTCTTACAGTGCACGTACCATCCGAAAGCATGTAATTAATTACAGCCTGCACATTCTACATACATACGTAAATGTATATATATATATACACACGCATATATATTTATATATATATATATATATATATATATTATATATTATATATATATGTATATAGGCATATATACAAAAATTTTTATATTCGCAATTAAGCTTAAATAAATAAATGCTTAAGCTTCTCCCCTACGGCTGTTTTTGGCGTGAAATTATTCACCCTTCTCCTCGCTATTTCGTTTTCATTTTATTGTTTTTTTTTTTTGGTTTTTTTTCCCAACCATATTTTAATGTTGCCTCCGCTGCGAGACACCAGCTGGTTAAATAATATTCATGGCTATTGTCTGGCAGTCGACTTTAAGCTGGCTGGCCGACTGGCGCAAAAAGGCTAACTCCAGGGAAATTTAATATTTGAGTGGCTAAAAGTGTTGGATTATTATGTTGTTAAGGAAATTTTACGCAGATTACAAGGCTCTTAATGGAATTCCTGTAATTGGTCTAATTATTTCTGATTATGTGAAGTGGGCAGTTGGCAGTTTAATTTCACTGGAAAAAGCTGGTAAATATAAAATAGATTTTTTTCTATTGTCGTAGGAATATTTTTTAAGATCCGATAAGTTTTGAAGGAAAGCTGATATATTTAGAGTTCTGAGAATAAAACAAATCTTGTTTAGAACATAATGGGCATGTAGTATGCTTTCAATAGGTATATATCTAACCTTTGTAAATCTTTCAATCAATATGAGTTTAATTATTCCGAATTTTCAAAAAAAAAAAAAATATGATTTTTGCCAGTTGAAAGTAGTAATAGATGAAATGATAAACAGGAAACGGTAATATTATATCCATTCGTCATATTTTTTTCTTTTTGCTCGTATTTGCAAAAGAAATGGACAATCAAATTTCATAAGTCAACTTTGAGGCCAATTTTTGGTGCGAGGTGCAGACTCTAAGGTGGATGCATAAGAGCCTCGCAGCAGAGCTGCCGGTGCTTCTGACGAAACACGTTTGCTCCTTTTGGCCACAATTGTACGCTTCACACTGTCAGTACTAGTCCCATTTTAGAGTTACGTAGCAGGAGAGTAGCTCATAGTGAGAGTGATACCTGGTGATCCCACCAAACATTCAACAAATTCTTCATGGCCGTCAATCCTGGCTAAGAAACTGTTTGTGGCAGTGAGACTTCGATAAAGAAATTTTCGCTTCACGTTGCTGTAAGTGGTTTTCTTTAGTAATTCTTGGACTTTGTTACGATTCAGCAGCGATTTGCAGTTGGAAATTCGTTCAATGAGGTTTTTTCTCGATAGCTTATGTGACACCCACACATCCAGCCAATTGCAAAACCTTCTCAAGGCGCACATAAAGCTTCAGCATGTGCTTGATATAATTTAGAATGAGGCTTTTGTTCTGTTACCGTCATTGAGGCCAATCCTAAAAAAACCGTGTATTTTTTTTAAACAAATTTTATTTATTTAAAAAAAAAAAAATTTTTTAAATCAAGGTTTTTGCAGACAAATAGACGTTAAAAAATTTTATTTAAAATTTTTTTTTTAAATTTCGGCTCTTAAAATTACTGCTGAAACACGTCCCTATTATTGGTGAGTGATACGATAGCTGTGAAGCGAATCATTCGAAAACAAAAATCGAAACGGTTCCTTATACTGTAGCACATTGGCTGTGGGCGGAAATACAATAGAACATTTTCACAAAAAAAAAAAAAAAAAAAAAAAAAAAAAAAAAAAAAAAAAAAAAAAAATTGCGTACTTTTTAATATTTTTTTTTGCCTTTTTTCCAATTTAAATTGTTAATAAATTTTTGAACTAATAATGAATATTTTTGGTTGTAGTACCGACCTTAGACAGAAATTTTAGGAATAAACTGCCGTTTAACTTATGTTGATAGGTTCAATAGATTCTGAATAAGTGTATCAATCAGTTGAAAAAACTTGATTTCGAGAAACAGGCGTTTAAAGTACTCGAGCGGCCGGATTTACTGCTTGGCGTGCATCGCTCTTCCCTCTGCTATGCTCAGTTCTTGGTCTTGCGGACCTTTGGAACTCATTCAATATTATATCTAAGAATTTTTCCTAGCAATTTACAGGATTTTTTGAAAGTTTTTTTTTAGAGTAACCTGGCCTCAAAGTTGTTCTGCACATGAAAAAGCCTTGAATTTTTTTTTTAATTTCTCTTCAATATTTTGTTATTGGGTGCTTAATTTTGCTGTTTTTTATCAACAAAATTTTACAAAAAATTCAAAAATAAAATTTTTTTTGGTATTCTTATTTCGTAGCTTCAGTGATATGGAATTAACACCAAAAAGAAAAATCTTCAAAATTATTTTCAATGTGGTTTTCCAAAGGAAAGCCGCGTTTTTTGGTTTCAATAACCTAAATAAAAATCAAGAAAATAATGTTTGTAATTATTTAGCTTTAAAGTTTTAAGAACTTTTTCAGGTTTCGACAGAATTTTTGATTAAATTTTAAATTTAAAAATCATTTTTTTTTCAGCTGAGTTTAACTCCAGTTATTTTTTTGCATTTCTTGGAATAGATAAATTCACTCGATATATTAATTTAATGCTACGAAAAACCTAAATTTTACCACTCAAAAGTGGAAAGAAAGCATTTTAAGCAAATTCCACATACTCAAACGGAAAGGCAAATAAATTAAAGAAGCTGCAGAAGAAGCATATAAAAAAAAGATTTATTTCGTTAAATTTAAATAGAAAATCCCTGCAAAGTAATCCCTGCAAACTTGATTTCTAATCAAAATTTTCGACTGCTTAAGCTCCGATTTCCTGCGAATTACTGTAGAAGAATGCGAAGCAACAAATTTTTATGAATTAATAAGTGTCAGTTTATTTTGTCTGCGCCCATTGTTGTTGTTTTTGTTGTAATTTCATACAAGGCACGTGTAAGCATTCCATAAGATTATGAAAGATTTTGTCATCTCATCAGAAACGAATTCAGTAAAGTGAAGAGCAAATAAATAAAAATATATATAAAAGAGTGTCGACAAAAAAAAAAAAAAAAAAAAAAATAAAAAAAAATAAAAAAATCTTTGCTGAAGCTTTAAAAAAGATGCAAAGTGTTGCTTTGTTGGATTACTATTTAAATATCTGCCTTTGACGCGAATTCGTTATTGAGGCGGCTACACAAATGCAATTCAGGTTAATGTGCTTGTGCTAGTTATTGTAAAATACATACACACATATATACACATAATGAAGTTATGATGTGTATTAGTGTGCATACATATATATGTATGTAGGCATTTACTTATATTTGATTATTTGGAAGCCGCTTATGCAAATACCATAAATATGTAAATAATGAATGCAAAGCACAAAGACCAAAATACCAACAAGCGGAAGCACAATAAAAAAAAAAATATAAAAAAAAAAAACAAAAAACACACGAAAAAGCATCAAAAGGCAACGAAAGTAAGGAAGCAAAGAGAAAAAAACCGTAAGAAAAAAGTGTTTGCGCGCAAAGGACGAACAGGGAAAAAGAAGCATTTCAAAGGACTACAAACAAAACTAAAAGTTCGAGACAAACAAAGCAAACAAATTGCGGCAGGCAAAGCGATTTAAGGACTTGATGGCAGACTTTAAGGAAGTAAGCGATTTATGCGGTAAGAGCAGGTACGGCGTGTGAGCGAGTTCTGCTGTGAAGCCTGGAAATTCATACAGGTGTCAAGCAAAGAAAATGTAATAAATTTTATAATATTCTCTATTGAAGTCAAACAAGATAAATCTGTATAAGTGTGTGTGCTGTAGTGCAAGGGATTGTTGGGTAGTTCAAGCAGGGCAATGGTTTATAATAATGCTTAACGCACGTGTTTGCTGAGAAAAGCAGTTGGGTGGGGTCGAATTTTAATTTTTAATATTTCAAAATATTTATGGCGATTTCACCGTCATTCGGCAGGTCAGTGTTGAAATTCTACTGCTATCAATATCCAGAAGTTATAGAAAATTAAATTAATTTTTCTAATTGTAGTCATCCCTAGGCAGAGAATGTTAAGCTATTCTCTTAAAAATACATCAACCGTTAGGAGTGGACCTCATATAAACTGTTACGTAACGAATCGCCATTTATCTATATGAAGCTTTGTTTATTTTTTATTAGACTTATATAAGTCTAATAATATAGTAAAAAGAAATCCATTATTTTTGAGCTGAAGGATTTTATTTTCAATTTTCGTATCCAGTCTTGTTCAAATGATTCCAAACGATTTTTTGGTTCTCAATCCGAGAAGCATCTTTTACATCAAAACAATTGGAATGACACAAAACATGTGCATGATTAACTGTAACTAAATCCATTATAACAATTTTTTTTCATTTTATTTTAATTCATCTGCTATAAAATTATTTATATTTAGTTTAAGTTAAAGTAATTTTACATATTTGATTTTATCTTATTTTATTTTATTTTATTTTATTTTATTTTATTTTATTTTATTTTATTTTATTTTATTTTATTTTATTTTATTTTATTTTATTTTATTTTATTTTATTTTATTTTATTTTATTTTATTTTATTTTATTTTATTTTATTTTATTTTATTTTAATTAGAGCTAATTCATTTAAGCTTATGTTATATTTCCACTTTATTTTATTCCTTTAATCTAATTTAATTTAATTTTTTGTTATTTAATTTTAGTTTATTTTAATATCTTTTCTTTTATTTTATTTCATTTAATTTTGTTTTACTTAATCTTTTCTAAAAAATCATATTTTTTTGGGTGTTTGGCAGAAATATATATACATAAAGTTTTTATTGTTATAAATTTATTTGTTAGTGAAATTTAAAGAGGGTTTTACAACTCATATATCATTGTCCTCCATGAAGACCGATTTTCAGCATGCAATATTTCCTTTGATACACAAATTTTTCTTTTCAATTTTTGAGACTTGTGCTTTCTACACTTTGTTGGCTTCTACTTGAGTATCAATACCCTATTGATATTTTGCAGTATTTCATTTTTATGCATTAAAATATCTTTCTTTGTACACAATGTTCGTTTACATTCATTTTCGTTCGTTGCGAATACCAGTAAAACAAAAGAGATTGTTAGTGTTCACTATGTATATATGTATGCCTAGTATGTATGTGTAAAACAAAACGGAATGAAATCCGCCAAACAAATAAAAGCAATTTTTAGTAGCATACTTTATGGCGCATACAGAATGTTCGCATATTTTGCTTGTCAGCTGCAATGTTGTCATAAATACAATTTTTTTTTGTTAGTCTGTGCATACATGTGTACATTTTTACTTGTATATATGTGTGTATGTGTAAATAAAGGGATTCCACTTATTGCTTTTGTATCAATTTTCCCTTTGTAATGTATTTCGCTGTAAAAAGAAAGTGATTCCATTGGATTGTATTATATTTTATTTATTTATGACGAAAATTCCCCAAAGGCTTGCTTGTAAATATGTAAGTTTGTACGTAAGCATTGATACAAAAACATTTTTTCTGTTTTATTTTATTAATATTTTCCCCAAATTTTGTTATTGTAATAAAACATTTAAGTATTTTTTTGTTTGCATACAAATTGAAAATACGCCATAAAATAATTTTTTTATGTAGTTTTTATGTGAGTTTTGTTAAATCTTTTCGCTTTTTTGAGATTAAAAAACACATATTCACTGCGCCCTCAAATTTACCAGCTGTAAATTTACTTCTGTTTTATCTCTCGCTCCTCCACAATAGAAATTACTTAGTTCACTTAGAATGGCATGGAATTATTAAAACAGTCTCTTAAGCCGGGCAGCACCACTGTGTTGGATGATAAATTCAGTGAAAGCGAATTGAGAAGGCAAACGCTTGAAAGATACCGCTAACTCCTGATTCGGTCAGAAATTTCGATGCTGAATTTTATTATATTTTCTTTATGTATGAAATCGTGTAAAAATGATGTGAAAATTCAAGCAAAACGACCAAATAAATTTAGAAAATTTTCATAGGCGAATATTTTATTATTATAATAGAAGGTTTCAATCAGGCATAAGATACTCTATTGACTACTACCACGTTGAAAAGTAGTAATAATAGTAGTAGGAATCCTGATGGGTTTTTGACTAAACAATATATATGTACTCCGTAACAATATTCTTTCGTTTTCACATTTGCTTCGTGGGTGAGCGCTATTGAAACTTTTTGGAATGTGAAAGCTTCTTATTACCTTCTGAGTAGGATGGAATTGGCGAAAAGCGTAGAAGCAGAAATTGTACTTTCTACTGAAGGCTTTTGTGTTTTCCGAGTGATGATGATGTTTTAGCAACTGAAATTTAAATATTAATTTATGGAAAATCTATAAGATTTATTGTAGATAGTGCAGTAAATATATCTTTATTAACAGGTCAGCCGGATATTGCAGGCATTGAAGGAACAGGTTAGCCTATGTTGATGCTACTGGAAAAGGTCTTAGAATAGACTATCTCAGACATTTCAATGCTTTCTTGGATCGAGATTATAAAATGACTGAACAAAAATTTCGGCCTTTGATATACTATATTAATTTGCATATTTTTTGCATATTTTACATTACGCTAAACAATTCTTATAAACAAAGAAGAAGGATTTTGCATACGAGCTCCTCTTTCAATTTTAAATGTGTGTCTTGATGTTGTCTTTTCTAACAAACGGTGTGACCCACGGTTTATTTTAAAATGTCACCAAACGGCTACTGGGTTTTTATGCTTGACATTCTCTACCGAGGGACGAGAGATATTAACAAAAATTTATTGACCATTAATTCTCATATTGGTTTAGTCAGTGCGCGAACCCATAATTTTCCTTATGGTTGTACACCCTGCTAAACACTATTTAATTAATTTACTATTTAATTTAATTTATTAATTTCATTGAGAACTGCACGCATAATTGAATATGTAAATATGTATATAAATTGGTATATCGTCTATAAATTTTAATTATTATATTTGCTAAGGTAAATACGTCATTTTATTTGTATTAAAATTTTGAACTTAGTTTGAAGAGGTTTTGAATCTCATTTTTTTTAAAGGAATTGAACATTATTTTAAAATGACATATTTATGTGGAGTTTTTCACTCTAAATTTTTAATAATAAATTTACTTTCAATTTTTATTTTTTCAACTTACCTACGTCTCCTTAAAGATCTGCGCTTCCTTCGCAATTTCTTATATGTAAATGTACTCGGCGCAATTGTATAATCTTCATCGAATTCCATTTCGATTTTGATTAAATTTTGTAAATTTAACTGGCAGTCCTATAATTAGAAATGACAAAAAATAGAATATGTATACATGTATAAATTACTACTATATCTTTGTTCAAAAATGAAACTAAAAATTTACGTGTTTTGCTTCGAAAGTTGAGTTTCTGTTGATCGATCGTTATATCTATTGTGTCGATCTATTTTTATATTACATCTTCAATTACAACTAGCAAATATGAGAAAATAATGAATATTTTTTCTTGTAAACATAAACAACTATAATCTCGTTTCGCTTATTTGTAACGCCAAAATGCCTACGCAAAAATGTTAAAAATTTAAACACAAAATTTTTAACAAATATTTTTTAAAAATTTCCATAATAATCAAATGAACTAGATTCCTGATTTTTGTATGTATGCAGCAGGCGACCTAGCGAATTATTTCGAATCTACTTCTATTCATAGGAAACGTGTGCTTCTATATAATTTCACATTTATTTGTACTTAGAAAAAATAAAATGAAGCACTAGAAACAATTAAAGGAAAATTCTCTGTATTGACAATAATAAATGATAATTTTAAAAAGCATCGAACTAGCCTACTCTCCTTAATTAACCAAGTACTCTTTAATTCGCTTTTAATTAGTTTAGGAAAGTAAAAGCACAAAAGCTCTGAACTGAAGCCTCTTTAGCTTTACAATTCACAGCAATGCTTACACTTAATAAATATTCTTAATACTGAAATCGGATTTTAAAATCCCCATTTGTGTTTATCTACAGATATTGCGCAACGAAAAATGAATGGATTGCGAAAAACATTAGGAGTGTCCTTTTAGCTCAGGAGGATAAAATCTCAGCTTCATAAATTTAAGAATTTTGCCATTTTCTTTTAAAAACCTGCGGTACACTACTTTTTAGTCAAAAAAACCTATGGAGACTTCCAGTGAATGTGGATAAAAAATATATATAACAATATAGAAAAATTAAAAAAAGATATTAAAAATAATAGTAAGAAGAAAAATAAAAATAAAAAATATTACTTTTGATATTTGTATATCTAGATATGAAATATAGGGAAAAATAATAAGGAAGCTTAACTAATGTAGAATTATCATCAATATTTTTTATGCTAAAAATGGTTAAATTAATTTGTAATTAAATAAGTTTTTAAAAATCTTTTCCATGGATTCGAAGAGCTTCTCCTTCAAGGGGAACACTTGAGGAATTTAAAACAGAAATTCTTTGACTTGGCAACTTCTGTTTTGATGATTTGATTTTGACTTTGTTGGCTACGATTTAAGAGACTTGAAAACAAATTTTTAGCTTCAAAAAAATTTCTGTTTTGATTTACTCTTTATGAAAAATATAACAGACGAAATTGAGTTTCAAAATATATTTTTAATTTATCAAAAAAATTAAGTACAGAAATACATATGAAATTTTTTCAAAGTGTTTAACATAAATTTTTTAATATTTATAAATCTATTTCTTAAAAATAAATGTGTCGTCGGAGAAATCGAATCTTTTATTAAATTTTAAATTAACAAAAAATAACATTTATTAAATTGTTATTTAAAATTTATCTAGTATTTTCATAATTTCTCTAATAAAAATTGAGCTTCAGAAAATAGTCATTTTTAATTTAGTTTAAAGTGCATAGTAGAGCAAATAATATAAATATGAATTAAAAGTTTTAAAAAAATTAGTTTCGGAATAAAATTCACTCGCAAATATTTTTTTAATAAACTATAAAATTTATTATTTAAAATTTTATTAATTTTCCTTAAACTAATATAACTTTGGGGAGCAACTTTTTTTTAAATAAATTTAAAATATTCCGGATAATAATTTACCTTATTAAAATAATTTAAAAAGTTAAGACTGAAAAAATTTCAAATTTTATTTCAATTTTTATACACATTTTTCTTAAAAAAATTGAACTTATTTCAAAATATTAGTAACGAAGATTCGTCGCATTGTTTTTTTGAAATGCTACTCTCTTTATTTACTAACTCTTAAAGAAATATTTCTTAAAGGGAAAAATATATATTTTTTTCTAAATATTTGTTAATATTTTTATTTAAATATCGAGCAACCTAGCATCTTCAATATGTTCCTACAAAAGCGTATTAATTTTGTTAGCTGCTAGAGCTTGTATATAATATTTTGGAGAATTCATATTAAAAATGAATTTAGCAAAATGAGTTTAATTTTGAATTAATTAAAAAATATTTTTCTTGATATTTTTATTATGAAAACTGTAACAAAGTTGATATTCCTGTTTTGAAATAGTTTAATGTAATTTATTTTGTTATAAAAATTGTAATAAATTTGAATATACTTTTTTGAAATATTTTTATAGAATTAATTTAGGTAAATTAAATATTTTTTTTATCACTAACAAATAAGGACTACCCTAATATAATATGTATGGCACACATATCATTTTGTATGACATATACTATTTGCCATCGATTTTGTGTCAGCATAAAAGCGCAAACCAAACAACAACAAAATCAGCGCATAAAATCCGCTAACATAAGCAGCGAAGTGAGGCAACAACTCACCACAAAACCATAGATAGACCACATAAAACCAGCTTTGATGATGATGATACTGCTGCTGCTGTTCGTTACTTATATTGCTGCTGATTTTGCTGATTTATAGGCGCACAAGCACAAACGCACATAGATATTGCACTTTAGGTGAACTCATTCAACGGTGTGTGACTTTGTGGCATGACAACGTATATGAACTTGCTTACGTACATATATATGTGTATGTATGTATACAAGTTTTGTGTATGTATGTGTGTATGGTTGAGCGCTTGTATGTTGTTGTTATTGCATTAATTCAGCGACCTGTACATTATTGCATTTCTAATTTCATCACACACACAGCTGCACAGCCACTCACACATACATACACACATACACATAGCAACGCACAGTGGCCTACACTCTCATCGCATTTTAGCCTTTGATATGAAGCTTTTCAAAATGTACAAATGAAAATGAGATTTCAGCAAAATGAGTGCTTCAAATATTTGCTTATATGTGGACTCTTGTAGGTGTATGTGTGTTTGTGTGTAGTATGTGTGCATTTGTGTGCTCAAAGGATATTAGTGTTAGCTATTAAAGTGTGCATATGAACGTGTATAGTGAATAATGCGCGTATGTGTATGTAGGTGTAGTATGTGTGTGGGTTTCGCTTGATTTTGCGGCTTCTATTGGATTTTAATTATAGTGTTCTTGCGCTCATCATTCGCTTGTAGTGAATAACTCAAACTCTTTTGTGGTTTATTTTTGTTTGTTTTTGCTGGCATAAGAAGTTTCGAGTTATTTGTTAAGTAAAACTTTATGATATATTAATATGTATGTATTTATGCCTTTCCCTGAAGTGACATGGCGTATACGTAACGTGATAAAATTGCTCTGATGAGTGGGCAATAAAAGTTTGTAATAAATTTAATTTCTTAATTCTATTTAAAAAAAATCATATTTTCTGCGTGAGTGAATAAAAAATAATAAGAATATAATTTTATTTTTTATTTCCAGAGAAATGCAAATTATTATATAATTACTCATATTTTTTGGTTAAAGAGTTTTAAAATAAATTGAAGCTTTTACTAAATTAAAATTGTTTTCTTCAGTTTATAAATATGTATTTAAATTTTCGGCAGAAAAATGTTTCTTGTAGTATTTTAGTGTTTCTTTTGAGGCTACATTGACTTCGGAAATATATTATGGTTTTATTGTTATTTTTGCTTAATTTTGTATAAGTCGTATTTGTTTGTTCTTTAATAAACCAGGTTTTTTTTTCTACTAATAATAGCTTTAGTCTAGATTTTATATATTTTTTATATCATTTTATTTTTAATCATGCATTTTTTACTTTTATTATTTTATAGTTTTTATATTTTTTTTTAAAAATATTTATTTTGATATTCATTTAAACTTTTTTTTTTACTCTTTTAAATGTTATTAATTTTTTTGGCAATATTAATACTGTACACTTATGAAAATGCTATTTTTAATTTTAGAATATTTTTTAACTATTCTATAAATCTTTATGGTCTTAAGTTTTTTAGTTTTAAAATATTAATATTAATTTTTTTATGAGTTCATAAAATACTAAGAAAATTTTTAATTTTTCAATGCAACAATAAAATTTTTTTATATTTATTAATTTAAAAAATTTTTAATTTTTATTACTCTTTACGTCGTTATTTCTGTACCTTATTGGAAGTTTATTATATTAAATTACTATATAAATTTTTTACTAATAGTTTTCTGAATTTTTTAGAACATTGATAATTTGAAATCACTTTTTTTATTTAATTTTTCTTTTTATTTAATTAATTTTTTTTAATAAAACATTATTATATTATTTTTACTTTAAATCGTTCTTAAACTTAACGCTTTTATTTAAATATTTAAAAAAAAAAGTTTTTTGTTAACTTTATATCATTTTGGATTGTTTAAATTATTTATATTTTATTCATTTAAAATTTTTATAAATTCTCACGTCCTTATTTTTAAAATTTTATTGGAACATTTACGTTGTATAAATAATTTCCACTGAGCATTCAGACGGAAATTGCATACATCACTCTTCTCATAATTAGCTTATAACTTTTATAATATTATAAAATCACATTTTCCTCCCTTTTCCTAAATTTGAAATTACTCACCTCTAACGTTTTGAAATGCCATCGTATGTCTGTCGTCGCCGGTGCATCGGTATCATCGATGGTATTTGTACGGCACAGACGTAACGTTGGCCAGCATTGGCAGCGTTTATTGGTGATTTCGCAACCAGGCTCTATCACTATTGTCTCATCATTTGTACAATTTCTATTGTATATACTACTGCTGCTGTGATATGTGTTATGCAGGGATGACGATGAAGAGGGTAGATCTGAAAGTGTGAAAGAAGAATTGATGGAAATAAGAAAAATTGGTAGCCAAGCTTCAAGTTAATTTATAAAAATTAATGCTCTTAAATATATGAAATATATATTGAATATACCTATTTTAATTATAGCATATATTAATTTTTTTTTTAAACAATAAAAGGGAATTTTAAGCCCGTAGAATTCAAAAGTATTAAACTCCTAAAAATACGATTTTTAGTTTTTCCAAAGAGAAACTTTTAACAATTTATGTTTTTATTTTTATTAATGTTTTAATTTTATGCTCATTATTTTGCTTTAGTTTTTGTTTAACTTTTATTTTGATTTCTATTTCCAATTACTTAATTTTAAATTTTATTACAATTTTAATTTTTATTTTATTTTTAATTACAGTTTATTTTCACAAAAATTTTTTTAATGATTTTTATATTTATTTGAGTTTAAATTTAATTTTAATTTTTATACTTTTATTTTCATTTTTATTTTAGACGTACATTTTTTTTTATTTATATCCATTGTCATTTTCAATTTAATTTTTATCGTTATTTTCTATTTTTTATTTTAATTTATTTTTTTATTTGTCTTTTTTTAATTATTTAAATAATATTTTAAGTACGTTGGTTTTAGTTTCTATTGCAAAATTATTTTTTCTCTATTTTTTGTAATTAATTTTATTTTTAAATATAATCTTTGATTTTTTTTTTGTTTTCCGTATCTCTCTGTCTTTAAATTTTTTTCTTTATATCGACTTTTAAAACAAAATGCAATCGGTCATAAGAGTTTTGTTTGAACACTTAACAAGTTTTACTTCCACACAGATAAATCTGAAATGTTACAAGAAAAAAAATCAGTAATCATATTATTTCATTTTTCCTACGCCTCTCAGTGTCTCGTTAAAGTCTGCTATAAAAGGCAATGGTACTTCTAACATTCAAAAGCAAAAGCTGCTAAAAAAGTTATAAAAATATAATAAATTCGTTCAAGTGCACAATAAAATTGCACTTAAAAATGTACTAACAATAGGAAATTAACGCAAAAGCAAAGCGAAAGCTTACTTTTGTGACGTGCTTTCTTTATTTCTATTTCTCCGCTGGTTATGTAGTGGTTCTACTGGGCGTATAAGTGATTTTTAATTACATTAATTTGGTTAGCACTTTGTGAGCTGGTGTTTTTTTTTTTTACTGCACTTGGAGTTGGGTATTGAATTTAAGAAACTTTCATTCAGTTTAGCAAAGTAAGTGCTCTTAACATAATTAAAATAAAATGTGAAAGTCTAATGCACTTTTTTTTTGCTTTTTTTTTTTTGATGAAAGGCAGGAAGTAAGTGGAAATATTTTGCTATTTACAAGCGTGAAACGCACTAATGGTAATTAGTGCAGGAAATGATTTAATCTCTTTTTTTATTTTTTATTTATGTGGTACTGTTATTTATATGAATTCAAATTAGTATTAAACTAAATAGTTAATTTTAATTTTTTTTCTATTAAATTTATTTGTTATTTTTTAAATATATGTTTTTATTTTCACTCGCATTTTTAATGTAGTTTTGCTTTACATACATATATATATATATGTATATATATGTATACAATATAACGTCTGAGACTTTTTTCCTATTCCCGAAATATAAGAAACCCTTGAAAGGAAAGTGTTCGGGCATAATTAGTGAGATAAAGTTAGAATCGTATAAAGCATTTTTCAGAAGTGCTTGGAAGATTTGGAAAAAGCGTTGGCACAAGTGTATCTTATGCGAGCGGAGTTGTTTCAAAGAGAAAAAGGTAGATATTACTGAATTAATAACCTGAATTAATAACCTTTCAAAAAAAAAAAAAAAATCATAATTCACTGTTTAGCTTGATTACAGCTCATATTATTATGCGTTTGCACCTTCATTTGCCACTTTTATTTTAATATAATTTCCTTTTTTTCTTTTCTACCACATTTTAATTGTTCATACCAATTTTTTCATTTTTATTTATATTTTTATTTTCGCCACAATTTTTTTATTCACTTTTTCTTCTTTTTCCTCATTTTTATTTTGTGTTATGGTTCTACAGTCAAAATCATTGTCAATTTTTTTAATATTTATTTTCAATAATTAAATATTTTACTCATATTTTCACTTTAACTATCATTTTCATTATCGTTTTTAACTTAACTTCATTTCACCCACTCACCCACTCTCACTTTCATTTTCATTCTTATTTTCATTTATTCTGATAATTTTTATATTTTTTTAACGTTTGCCTTAAATTGTAATGCAAATTTTTCTTCTTATTTAATTTTTATTTAAATTTTAATTTAACTTTTTTTTATTTCAGTTTATATTTAATTTAATTTTTTTATTTTTTTTTCCATTTCCCTTTCAATTTTATTTTTTAATTTTCATTTTCATATTTATTTTCAACTTCGCTGTCATTCTATTTCCAATACCGCTTTTAAACCTCACTTTAATTTTTATTCATACTTTCATTTTCCAAGTTATTACTATTTTTATTCTATTATATTTTATTTCTTGTCTTTTTTTTTATTATCACTATTACCTTTAATTTGTAGTGGAAATTTCCTATTTTATTTATATTTCTTTCACATAATTATTTTAAATTACTTAAAATTTTTTTGAATTTTTATTTTTCATTTCAGTTTCTATTTCATTTCACATATATATTAATTTTTCTTGGCATCAAAGTTTCAATTTCTTTCTTAGTTTCGGTTGCAGTTTGATTTTCCTTTCAAATTCGTTAATTTTTAATTTTCTAATTCCATTTTCATTTAATATTAATTTTTGTTTTATTTTTATTTTATTTTTTTTTTTTATTTTTATTTTACATTTACCGAACAAATAATCTTCTAAATTTTTGAGTACACAATAGCAACTCAACCTAACACCCATCATAAGCAACACAATGACCTGTTACCTGCTCTTATCGCACTTTAAATTTCCCCAAAAATTGTTTAGCGAAATTTTCCCAACAATCAAAAGTGACATTTTATTTAATTTCTTGCATGAGAGCGTGCTCAGAGAGAGAAAAAGTAAAATTATACCAAAAAGGAGACTCATTAAAAGCACTCATGCTTAACAACATTGCTTTGGGTATACCTAAAGATGAATTAAAAAAGCATTAAAATGTTGTTTTCTCTGTGATTTTTTTTTTTCTTTTTTTTTTGGTTTCGTAAATTTAATAAGCCAAGTGCGGCACAAAGGCAGGTAACGTAACGTACACACACACACATATACACGTAAACACATTAATTTATGTAAGCACTTATGTTACCTGTGTTGTATTCACCAAAAGCACACACACACACGCACACACACACACGTACGCAAAGAGAGTGAGAGCGAGAAAATTGCACATACATTTATATAACGGTGTGACGTGTGGCATGCAACGTGCTGTGCTACTACTTGCCACACAACCTTGACACACTTTTCTGCAGTCCCCAAAGTCGATATCCTCGTATGCGCATCCAACAAACGTAGATTTAACTATGTAGAAGCGTTGCAATTGTTTGTTGCTTTTATGTGTGTTTGCCTGTGTTTTTGTATATTTTCCAACATTAGCCACATTTTGTTGTTACCTTTGTGCCACTTATCCCCTTTATGACCATTTTGCTTAGATACTGTTGAAAAGTGTTCCCCACAATGTTATCGCTGCATTTATAATATACTTGTATATGTATATGTGATTTTATATATGTAAATATGTGTGTGGGTGTGTGTGTGTAGAAAAATTAGTTTGGGAAAAATATAATTATGTTGGAATTTTATCTCTTTTCGCTTTTGTTATTTTATGCTGAAAGCGAAAATGTGTGCCGTTTTAGCGCATAATGGAGGCTTTTGTTGGGATTTTATAAAAATAAATTATTATCTTATTGCTTTTTCCTACTTTTGAAAAAAAGTATAATTTAGTTGGCCTTGCTTTCAATTGTTATATTGTGTTAAAGAGCGGCGATTATGTGTATTTATTATTATTTATTATGAAGGAAAGAGAAAAGAGAGCACAATGAGCCTACTCTACGGCTTAAATGCCTTCTCAACCTCCAAACAACCAAAACAAAGAAAAATATTTATATTTTTATCAAATTTATTTACAGATTTGAGTATTAATACATTTAGGCGGATGGTATGCCCTTTAAGGAAATTTTCTCAATTTTATTTATTTTTGTAAATCAAAAAATTTTTTTTGAAAAAAAAAAAAAATTTACAGGCTTCTTTACATGAAAAGAAAAGACTCGGTTCTAACAACGTTAATGAAATTTTATTCTATTAAAAATTTACCACATTCATACTAGAGATTAAGTAATTAAAGAGTGACATTATCATTCCAGCGCTGCTTTAGTATCTCACAGCCACATTTCTACAACGTCGAAGTAGGCTTCGATCACAGAGAAAATCTTTTTAAAGCCAGCGTGCATTATTTTGAGGTCTGCGAACAGCCGGCAGTCGGTGGGAGAGAAATTTGCCGTTAGCTGGAGTAGAAAGTTTCCAGAAATTATTTTTCTTTTAATATTCCCGGTTTGGTCCATCATGAATTCCTCGTTGTTGACTTGTTCGCCATTTTTTATTACGCAACAGACTTGTTCTGACGCATATCAGCGGAGCGTAAAGACTACATATCATCTCCTATAAGACCCCAATTGAAGATATTGGCACTTGTCTCTCCTAAATTTCTGTGTCATAATTAATGCTTATTTTCTAAATATGTTGGCTCTTCGAACCCAAGTCCTAACCAGACCAAAGATACAGAAGAAATAATCTAATTACAATCACCTTTTGGCAGGGTATTATCATCCCTTGGAGAGTAACTCGGACCTTAAAAAATTCATTTTTGGAATCTCTCAGATATTTGGCCTTAAGTTTGGTAGAACCGTGATACCCAGAACTGAAGCCGTACAAATTTACTATTCATTTGTGTTGACTCCTTCATTATTCCGCACATTTCTTCTCACATTCATACGGCCTGCCCTTGCGTTTAGTAGCAGTTTTTGTAAAGAGAAAAGT